TTTAACACACGCTATAATTCACAACGATTCACGTACTTTACTTACGGTCACCACCGCTCATTTGACTCAATTATCTGTCTCTATATCTCTCTATCTGTAATTATGATCCCAGCTTTATTTGTCGGGCTTATATATTAAAATAGAGGGTGCTTAGAAAAGACTAGAATTGCCAGGAACAGTCATGATCCTTCTAGAAACTCCAGTGAGCAAGCTTCCAGCGTCGCGTGACTTCTGCTGTTCCTTAGTATTGTTCGTCCCGAACAATAGCCACTTACATTAAACTAACAGATAATTAACAATAACTTAATTAAATGTACAGAATTTACCAACACAAAATTAAAATTCAACAAAGTCTCTTAATTTTACAGGACGTATCTTCTTCCGTACTGGTTTCCTTCTCGTTGGCTTCTGCTTCATATGGGGTTCATCTGCTTCATCAGGAAATGTTCTATCGTCGATAACAGTCACATCAGTGGTAGTAACTTCATCAAGAGCTTCACCGTTTCCCTTCTCAAAACTGAGTAGAGTTTCTTCTTCGATGGTGCCTTCTTCAGGTGGCACGTCTTCAGCAGCGTCATTTGTTCTGTTGTCCACTTCGTCCCAACTGAAATGTCCTGGACCACGATAATGCCAAAGCCTGTTGGCATGCGCCACCTTTGGCTTACCTCACCGACCACATTTTATCCGGAAAGTCACGTCTGAGAGACGATCCACTATGTCATATGGGCCTTCCCATGGAGAAGACAACTTAGGAGACTTCCCTTTGGTCTTCCTGGGATTATATAACCACACTTTTTCTCCTGGTACAAAGCTGACTTCAGTAGATTTCTTATCATAACATAGCTTCATGGAATCAGCAGACGTTTTCAAGTGTGAACGCATTTGAAGGTGCATATCATCCATCCTTTCAGATAACACTTTCACGAACTCTGACACATTTTCAGGCAATTCTTCATAAGGTTATCAGATCCACTGGCAACGAAAGTTCCCGACCAAACATCAGCTTGGCTGGAGTGTATCCAGTGGCTTCTTGCTCTGCTGTTCTATAGGCCATCAACAGTGGTGGGAG